ATGAGATGATTATAGCCAACGTGGCGCGTAGCGCCGAGTTGGCTATCTATCATCTCATATCCAACGCGCGCTCGTGGAATAATTGTTAAATATGTAATGCAGTGTTGACAAAGCAAGCTCAAAACGGCAGAAATCGCCAAAAAAAAACGGAAATGCGAGGAATGAGTAAGTTTTATCAATCTTACGTGTAAAATGTTCATATTTCAGAATATTTAGTGTTGTAAATGGACCACATTTCGTTACCCATACTATTCCCTATGACGTGTTCAAATTCTCAGTTGTTCCCACGTCACACAACACGCGATGTGTTCATGACATAATCTTTAGCTTTTCCTCGAGACGTGAGCTTGGGACGCCTGTGGTAAGCAACAAACTAAATATAAAGAATTCTAGTGATTTACAGTGCAGGTTTCGTTCACATAAGAAGTTCGTGAGCTTTTGGCTTCTAGGAAAGGGTACTCTACGGAAACCCTTCTCCTCCATCTCACTGAATCTTGGAGGAGAGCTTTCGATGCAGGTCACAAGGTTGGAGTCTTATTCATTGATTTTCGCAAAGCTTTCGATTGCGTGGGCCACATAATTCTTGCAGGAAAACTTTAAGCAGTCGGTGTATTGGGTAATATGTGGAGCTGGATCAATGATCATTTCACCAACCGTATGCAAGGGACTCAAGTCAATATTGTTAGATCAGATCAAAAACCTGTTAGAGTTGGAGTTCCTCAAGAATCTTTGCTAGGCCCTGACCTGTATGCTACTTATGTTAATGACCTACCGGATCACGTGACCAGTGGGGAATTATATGTGTATGCAGACGATACTACAATTTATGTCATGGGGAATTCTGTTGCCGATATTGCAATAATTTTACAAGAAGTCTTAGACCAGGATAATTCCTAGAGTCTTAAGAACAGACTGAATGTCCACGAAGGTAAATTCGGAGCGATGATTTTGAGCACCAAGCCCTTCATAGGTCCTATGAAACCTCTGAAGTGAGCGAGGACATCATTCGGTATGTATCCTCCTCCTGTGTGCCTCGGATGTACAATCGATGAAAAATTATCTTTGTCTCAGCATGTCAAATTAACTCGTTCTTCATTTCACATGAAAGTTAAAATGCTGAGACGCATAAGTTTTCTACCCAAGTCTATTTTAGAAACTATTTACTTGAGAGAGTACGTTGCAGCGAAACGCGCCATGTCTTTACTGTTGCGGTGATCTGGACCGGGAGGTCCCAGGTGACCACGCTAGCGAGACTGTATAATGTTTGTTTTTCCGAGAAAGGTTTTGAATTCAATGTTTAAGTTAAGTTTCCTGAGGTTAATAGTGTTTAAGGACTCCATTTCTATGGTTTAAAAGGACTATCGAAGGCTTTATATCACAGTTAGGACACAGATGTGAGTTTTTCCTATTTATTCCAGAGATTTGTTTCTTGTTTATCGCATATTCGTACTCGCTTTGTAATGTTGGGTTCTGTTGTTTTCTTGTAGTTTTCGTTACCGCTCTATTTACCGCTTTATTCGTCGCTCTGGTCATCGTTTCCATATCTACTAACCACAGTGGAAGCCAACAAAAGTAACCATCGCTGCGTGTAAACGAACTCTGTGATTCTTTCAATAAAGTAAGTTGTTTGTTTTTATTGTACGACGTATGGACGATCGAAAGGCATCAGTGTAGTAGCTCCGCTGCTACACAGTAATCCCAAGTGTCTTATATGGAATTGTGATATGGAGGTCTGGTATTTAAAGGTTAAAGAACTAGAAATGATACATATTAGAGCTGCTAAAATGATACATAAGTTACCAAAATGTATGAGGATGATGATATGTTAGCAAGAGTTGGGTGGATGCCTCTTCAGTATTTCTATAGGTTTCGTATCCTACCTATTACTCACGTACCATTTTATGGCCTGGGCTTAAATGAAGTAAATTCCTTGGCTGTTAACTGCTCTAATAGTTGCTTGACCTAATACTGAAGCTGGCCGTCGTTCTTTACCACACAGGGCAGCAATTGCTTGGAATTCCATACCAAATAATTTAAGACACTTTCCTAATCCAATTGCTTTTAAAAATAGGCTTAAAAAGGCAAAAAATGATGCTGTAAATATAAATTTTGGAAAGCGGAGTGGCTCTGTTGTTTATAATAAGAATGCAAATTTCTATTATTTCTGATATATTATGACACATTTATATTTATATTTATTCTGTTTCTTATTTACCACTTTACTCGAGGTTTATTTATCTTATTTTACAGAGATAATACAGTAGGTCTACATCAGCTGTAAAGTTGCCAAATAATTTTTTAACCTACTTATCAAATAAAGATATTTATTTTTTTCTCAGTTCGTGAGCGGGCGGTATTCTACAAATCGCGTTTCAATCTGATTGGTTCCGAGAGCGGGCAGTATTCTCCCCATCCGGCACGCTCACAGCGTGCGGTATCCGTTTTGCTTGAGTCACTTTGCAGAACAGCTCACACTTCGTTGCAATATTTCCCAAACATATCTTATTTTGCCGGCTGGGCAGAATTTTTAAGCAAAGACTTCGGTCACGACCTTTTGGCGACAAATAATAGTGATTCTTTCTTCTCTCTCACTCTCAAATCACTTTGGTTTTTCCGTAAAAATTGATTTCGAAATAAATTGTGTGGTACTAAATTTGTTTTTAAAAAGATTGAAACGCGGCCTAGAAACAATTTTCCTTCCCAAAAAGTCACTCAGAAAGTTCAAACGAGAGGTAGTTGCAGTTAACAATTACGCTAATCAATGTGACTCTCAATCGCTAATATCTGAATTCTTCAACGCAATTTGTTCGTTTGTGAAACGTTAAGCGAAGTTTTGAACTCTTCTATAAATACACTTTCGCCTATTCTTTGCAAGTCCCTTGAATTTGGACATTACGACCGTAAATTTCACAACAGTAGCCAAAGGAATTCGTTGAATATAAATATATCTTATTAACCAAGCGGGAGGGCCGTACTGAAGAACATCGGCCCAAGGTCTTGACAGTACTGACCGAGCGCAGCGAGGTCCGTACAAAAAGACCGAGGGCCGATATTCTTCCAGTACGGTCCCGAGCAAGCTTGGTTAATAAGAGATTTATCATACGACTGAAGTTCAAAGGGACACAAGTGCGGTATCAATCGGGACCATTCGGGACAGTGCCCGGTCCAATACTGAGAGAATATTGACCGGCAATAGAGTATTTTGATTGGTTGATTTTAGCTATTGGCCCTCTGACTGCCCGTGTCGTGTAAGAAGTCGCATTAATTCCCTTTGTGTCTAACTGGAAAGAGTCTTGTCGCCTTCAGCTTTTCGGTGGAAGAAAACTCAATTTACACATACCATTACAGAAAACAAACAAGCAGACTGACAACTCCAAAACAAACATTTGTTTTCACTTACAATTTGACATTCCGTGACATTCTAAAACGGAACAGAGGTAAGTCTTCGGACATTAATCGTCGTTGCAAATAAACGATACTTTAAGTAAGATCTCCGAGTGTTATTTATTCAAACGCTTCCGCTTTTTTCCTCGTCAATTGACAGGTGTCACATCATGACAGTTACTTATCAAAAATGTTTCAAATTTTGCTCGGAGGCCTGTTAAGTTACCTTTACAAATAAAAATGTTTCGGTGAAAGCTTCCTCTTTAATTTGGATAATGTCTGTTTTCTTTGTGGGTTTGAAGTTTGAAGTTTTTGAAGTTTGAAGTTTATTTATATATTCATAAATACATAGCAGTTAAAAACTGCTATGTATTTATGAATACATAGCAGTTTTTAACTGCTATGTATTCATAACTGCGGGCGGTATCTAAGATCTCAGGCACAGTTTTTCCAAATACGGACCTCCCGCTGGTCAATAACATATATGTATGCATATGTATGTATGCATATGTATGTATGTATGCATATGTATGTATGTATGCATGCATTTGTATGTATGTATGCATGCATTTGTATGTATGTATGTATGCATATGTATGTATGCATGTATGCATATGTATGTAAGTATGTATATGTATGTAGGTATGCATATGTATGTATGTGTGCATATGTATGCATATGTATGTATGCATATGTATGTATGTATGTATGCATATGTATGTAGGTATGCATATGTCTGCATATGTATGTAGGTGTGCATATGTATGCATATGTCTGTATGTATGTATTCATGAGTATGTATGCATACATGCATGCATGCATGTATGTATGTATGTTTGTATGTATGTATGTATGTATCTATGTATGTATGTATGTATGTATGTAACAGCCCATCAAGAAATGTTTTGGAAAAATTATTTGTATCAATATATTTCTTGGTCATTTTCGTCTTGCTGCTTATTTATAGTTTCAAGGTAATTGAGAAGTGATCCACAGACAGACTACAGGCGTGTTCACACAAATGCTTCAAGATGGGGGCTTTGGGATTTCGGTTTTTGTCCGTTTTTGGTGTTCATTTTCCGTTTTTTACCATTTAAGGACGCAATTGTTAGACAATAAAATTGTCTTACATTTACAGATGTCATACAAAAACAAGACTGACAATTGAATGCACTTTAACTGTCTCCTAGAAGCTTCTGGTTAACCCAACATGATTATTTGTACAACAGTTGAAAACATTTGCTGAAGGCATTGGAACACCATTCTCATTAATCAATCCAGTAAATAAAAATCTCTTACCTTCATCTTTGGATTGTCAATAATGGATTTGAGACTGACATGGGATGGCTGAGGGTTTGTCATATTACCTGGATTCCATGAAAAGAGACTCAGGGCTCTAAATAAATTAAGATTGGAAATCAAAACTAATGGCAAGCTGTGTATCTAAGCTCTGTATACACTAAGAGCTGAGTTGCAAGTGTCTAAACTTTAAATGGTCATATACAACACCTTCCTTCAATTTTTTAAGAGATATTTATCGTGAGACATCTCGCAGCCTGTGGATTAACATCCTAAATTCTGGATTAAAAAAAACAGTTTTGAACCCAGGGCAACATCACTGTGTTTTTAATACCCTTGGAAAACACACATTACACTCAGGGCGAATCTTTCCTCTTAGGTATATGAATATCATGGCTGTAGAAAACTATAATTATGAAAACATAACCAACTGTTGGGGGTGGTAACCTGCAATTGGCTGGTATCCCATCCTGGAAATGGAATTTTGCTGCTATTAATAGTATCTATATGCAACACAAACTGGGATGTTATGGGTATAAAATGGCCCTTACCAATACAAGTAGTTTAATTTCCTTCTGATGCTCTCAATATTTTGAGGGTGGCCCATAAAAAACTCACATGGGAGTTCACAAACAATAGCTTTCATGGTAAATGTACTTATAATCACCAATTAGTTAAATTTGGGACAAAGGTGGATGAGAAGTATGTGCAGAGCAGCAAGTGACCTACAACAGTCATTATAACAACTGAAAGCAGTTAACAACATGCATTTTAAAGCAATTATTTTCCTTTATTTAATTAAGGAGTAAATTATTTCTCACTCTACCTGTCAGGCAACATCATTCTTATCAAATATGCTGCCACTTCATCATTCTCTGTTATTAATGCCATGTCAACTGGTAACAGCTCTTGCTTTTTATTCGGTGCTCCATTGTCAAAAGCCACTGTCTCCACTGTCAAAAGCCATGGAATTTTATTCACCAGTGTTCTAGTGACACACAAAAATCCAAGTTCTGCAGCATAGTGCAGCAATGTCTTCCCTGCTTTATCATCCTCATCTCTGAACATCTCATATCTGTTACCTGAGTTCAGTTCACTTTCCAACAGAATTTCCAACAATCGATTTACCTGTACAAAGATCTTGATGTCAATATGTCTGCATATCATTAACAGGATTAAAAACATTTTGATGTCTTGGGAAAGAAATACTCCTGAAAGTTATTTGACCAGTGCAGGCTAATTCAAACGGTCAATCTTTTGCAGCTTAATAGCTGGTTCATGCACTGTCATTGTTTACTTTCTTTCCTTTTTTTTCCAATTGCCAAATGAATAAAACTGAGAGAGAATGTTTGCTTTAAGTCTAATCGCATGCTAAAGTCCTATTTTGGTATCCCAGTCAGGGGGTTTAGAAAAGATGTCTATTTTTCACCCCAGCTGGGATCTGAGTAATAAGTGTACTAGTGAATCAAAGAAAACCTTCAATTCAGAGTTAAAAATAAGGAATAATTTTCAATCAGTTCTTGTAAAAAATAACTGAAAACCTTATAAAAGAGAAATACATGGTCCTTGCAGCTAAAACAGTAACTTCCCACAACATATCTAATTTTTAGTCTTCTTAAATAGCATAATCATGGAACATACTAACTGAAAAGTGTGTCACAGGGAAGTAAAAGGAGGCACACATTCTGAGGCAATATCATCACAGTGACATGTTTAATTTTTCCTTCACAATATCTTCAGTTATATAATAAGTTAAATCAATATTACTAGTTCTGGCAATACAAGTATTGAAAAACAACTGATTTACAAATATACTAAATAATAGTAGATAAGAAATAAAATAAAAAAGTTCATAAATAAAGATAGCCTAGCTAATAAATTAAAATCAAGGTAATGTACCCTATTCAATGTCTAAAAAGCATAGATGGAATAAAGCTACATTTTAAATGCTCGGTACGTACTGCCGGAAGTGTAAAATTAGACGAATTGCGCAAAGGAATAGGGGAGTCATTAGCATCATGGCGCCGGGTGGGGAGGAGGGGCATAAAATGTGGATTAGCAAGACTAGTTAACTTGGAAAAACTTTTAGAGCACAAAGACTCACGACGCAGAAGAAGGCTTGGTAAACTCAGTGCCTCTAAGGCTGACACATAGGAGTAAAGAGGAAGGATATTCTGGATATTCTGAAGGATACTTCTGGTATTGTGAATAATTCTTATTGCTCCAATCTTAGTATGTCTCTGCTGTTCAATGTTATACTTCCCTCATTGTTTCTTAATTATTGCATTTATCTTTTGCAAAACAATTTATGACAAGTGTAACTCTGACAGTTGTTCCACAATTAAATTACATACCAGCTTTTCAAGTCCTGGAAGTTTCTCAGGATTCTCTTGGTATTGCTTAGATGCTGGCCATCTTTTTAACATCAAGAGTGCTGGATCTTCAGAGTCCAATTTTCCATTGTTTTTGAACTCTTGAATCAGTTTTTCAGCAGTAACTTCATCCATTGCTCTATTCCATGACATTCCTTTATTCTGCTTTTTATTGACCTATAAATGATTGTTTATTATGTGAGTTTTTATTACATTGCTCGCAGCACCTGTGGGCAAGATGAAGAGAATCTTGTGTTCTGATTGGCTACCCAAGCGGGAAAGATAGGCCTATCTTGCCCGCTCGGGATGCCCACATTGATCTTACAGATGAAAAATTGAATTAGAACTACACTTATAATTCTTGGGCAATTTTGGTGATGGAAACAAAAAAAGTGGCAAAAGATAGTCAAAACAAAGTAAACAGAAACGACTCTTGCGAGTCGTTGTGCTAAAAATACAGTTGGCTTTCTTTCCAGGCTCTCGAAGTTAACAAGTCACTCTTGATTCTTATTGAAGCGAAATCTTTTTAACAATATCCTTTACTAGTATATACTAAAACAATGGATAGCATTGAAGGCGCACTCTGATTGGCTAGTCAAACTCCGAATATCCTTTGCTATTTACCGCCGAGCAATTCGGGAACAAATGGCGTCCCGGTTTGCATCTGTGACAAGCAAAGAAATCACTCAAATTAACGACGGTGGTGTACATTATCTCACTGTTTTAGTATATACTAAAACAACTATTCCCCTCAGTGTCGGTGGTTAGCGGTGGATATTTACCTCGCCGCTTCGCGGCTCGGTAAATATCCACCACTAACCACCTCCACTTCGGTGAATAGTTGTTCATTAACCAAGCTTGTTCCAAATGTAGGACCGAGCGTTTCAAAAATAGTTTTTTAGGAAGATCATGTATTAACAAATTTTAGTGCTCAGTGAGTTTTGTAAATGAGATCGATGCTGTTGTATATATTTCAACAGTTCAAGCTTTCAACATATTTATAGGATATTACTATTTATTAAGGACTTTAATACTATCATATTACTATTATAAGTTATATTTTATACTTGTAACTATACAATTCAGCTCAGTGGCTGCAAGCTTTTTACAAAT